GAATCTGGCTTCCCCACTGACTTTGCTTATCAGTAGGTTGCAAAAGGGGATCACAAGACCTTGGGACATGGCAGCTGTCATAAATATGAACCAATTTCCAAGCATCTGAATTTTGATCACATGACCATAGGGATTCTGCAACAATGATTAGTGAGAAAAACGGTTATAAGTCACTTTTTTCAGTGCCATTGTAACTTTGAACAGTCACTAAACGAACTGTTGTAAGTTGAGAACTACCTATGGTTGAAATAAAAAGTCTGGATCTCCAGTGAAATCTTGCTTCAATGAGATGTGTATAATTACTCTCCACATGTTCTCAGTTCTCAGAACAGGTCTCAGAATAGGTCTCCTTGTCCAATACTTCACAATAACTGGTGAGCATATTGTTATAGGCATTTATGCAGAAAAAAATAGTTGTTCCTTGATGGAGGTTTGCCTACGTGCAAATTTCCTCCATTTGTATGTTTTCTGAAGTGTTTTAAACCCATATGTGGTTCAGAGGTGGTATTCAGCAGGTTCTGACCGGTTCTGGAGAACCGATAGCGGATATTTTGAGTAGTTCGGAGAACCGGCAAATATCGGAAATTTTGAGTAGTTTGGAGGACCAGCAAATACCACCTCTGACTAGAGATTTTACAGTATCCTTCCCCTGCCACACCCACCAAGCCATGCCCACAGAACCGATAGTAAAAAAATTAGAATCCTACCACTGATGTAGTTCCATAGATCCTTGATGCTTTCTGAGCTTCGATGGTACAACCCTAAGATACACATATTCTCCTTTTGGAATCACACAATGCAGTTCTCCCATAGTAAGCCATCACTTTTTTAATTTTAACAAGCTTTATAAATGAGTCATTGGTATTTTTGGAGATCACTGGATATTTGTGCAGTAAAGTAGAACCTCTGGTCATGACCATAATTTGTTCCATAACTTTGGTTGCAACCTGATTTGGTCATGACCAGAACCTAATTTTGGAAATTTGGCGCTTACAAAAATAATGGCACGGAAGGGGAAATTGGCCGTGAAAAAAAAAATTGTGAATTTTTTGGTTGGAACCTGATTTGATCATGGTCAGAAGTGTCATGATCAGAGGTGTAAATTAAAGCAATCATATAAAACAATAAACTGTGTTCAGACCCCAATAAAAATTGACATCTATGCATCAACCATCCTGTGCCTGTTCTATCAGCACCCCGGTCCCAGTGCCTAAGGTAAAAACTGTATTCCTGAAGGGTCGGGGCCTTTTGTATTTCTGGGGGGATGCTGTTCCATCTGGCATCCATAACACTGCCAAAGCTCCACCAGGTGACACTGTTTTCACCAACAGGATATGAAGTAGGTTCAGTCTGCCTAATCTAGTAGGATGGGCAGAAATCATGTGGATAGGCAGTCCCTCAAGCAACCTGCCCCAGGTCATGTAGGAATTTAAAGGTGACAACAAGCACTTTCAATTGCACCCAGAAGCCTACTGGCAGCCAGTTCAGCCTGTGTAGCAGTGGTGTTACATAGATATACCATGGTGCACCCATGGTGCCACTGTTACAATTTCCAAATGCTCTTCGAGGGCAGTCCATGTAGAGGGCATTGCAGTAATCCAATTGGGAGACAGCTCAGGGATGAGTGATGCAAGCAGAGACTCTTGATCTAGGAAAAGGTACAACTGGTACATAAGATATATTCATACATATACGGCCTCCTACTCTTTGAGCTGGAATGTAGAATCCAGGAAAACCTCCAGACCATGCACCAGCTCTTATTGAGGGATGTCATCCCAGCCAGAGTTAAAGATGCCAGATCACAGTGCATGGGTCTTGAATCCAGGCTGTCTGCTTCCCAGCTCACAAGCTCAGTATCTTTAACTGCTGCGCCATCACACCCTCTTTGATAAGTGTGTGTGTGTGTGTGTGTGTGTGTGTGTGTGTGTGTATACATACACACACATACAATTTATCCAAGTCTTGAGAAGATTACTATTTCCTATTTCAGCTCTAAAATGCTTGCAAAGTACATTATATTGGGATTTCTATGATAGAAATCTAAATGTATATACAGGATATTCATACGAGTTAACAAGTATGGACTTAAATATAGCGATATACAAACCGCCTTATATAGCTCATTCTGACTGGCAGCACTTCCAGAGTCTGCAAATATCACATATCAAGTCTGTTAACTCACTCACCTGCTTTTTGCAGTAACAATTCTCCCTGCCAAGACATTGTAAAGACAATATTTGTGTCATATAATTAACAAGACATCCTCTGTTCCAAGTGAAATGTTTCAAATTACTCCACAAACATAGCTGGAAACTAAGTTAAATGAGACACAGAGCAGTGCTTTTCACATTATTTCAAGAACATTTTAGCAGCAAGGCAAAGCATAAAACTGTTTCACCAATAAGGCGTAGCAAGAGACATGTGAAGTAATCTGTCTTTGTATCTGTTTTCTTTAGACCTTCAGGAGGATCAAAGACACAAGTGTACGTGCCAGTTTATCTTTTTCCAAGATACTGATGTAAAAAAGAATACTAGCTCCTGCTGTTCCTCAGGAGTATAATCATGTACTCTGGTTTGTACAAGTAAATTCTTAACTCACTAAAAGTCTATTCTAGCATTACAGGGGAAATATTGCTTTCAAGCTCAGTTCTTTTTGCTATGGCTTCCAAATATAGGAATATAGGGGATCGACGAAATAAACACAGTGGGAAAAGAAACAGAGTCAAAAATGAAAAAGAAAACAGAACACAATTCAAAAAGGCAAAAGTGGAATTATATTGGTAAAGGATTAAACCCAACCATGGTTAAGTGTAGACATAGGACACAGGAAAACATTTGGAAACTCCCAACATATATGTGTATGTCTTCAAAAATTATGCTGAGTTCAAAACCTTCCAGAAGTCAGAAAATAGAAGCCTGTATATGTATTTGTGAGGGGGAAAAGATCTAACTCAAGATAAGCTTGCATAATACCCTTCCTTCCAGTGACAGCTGTGTTTTGATGGATCAATATAAATTGGATGTTGGGAATTATATTCCAACACATTTGAAATGGCATTAGGTTGGGCAAAGCCATTCTGTAAAAGATCTTGAAGCAATAAAATGAAGACATCTTGATTATTCTGGGGTTTTATATCTGAATGTCTAATTTCTCATATATTTATATATCTATAACTCTCCATATATACACTATGCATTTATAAACTCAAGTAAACACCTTTACATGCGGTTTGCATTAAAAGATTGATTGCTGTTCTGAGAGAGAAGAATTCTATGATAATGAAACTGTGAAATGTCCAAAATATGAGGAATTTTGAAGTCAATTAAAGATCTTGTGGGTGTGAAATTGTAGGCAATTACTTTTGATCAATGTGTCAGACACTGGTGCTGAATTTATTCTAATTTGCTAAAGAAAATATTCTGAAGTATTTTAAAACACCAAGGGCCCTGATTAAAGCAAAATGTGTCTACAATATGCAAGGGTACAAAAAGGAAACCTAGTCCAATGAGACTTATACAATGTCAAACGCCAGAGCAGTGGAAAATTAAAAAAATTCTTTGAAATTCTTGCATCTGATAAGTTCAAAGTCTTCAAGCAGCCAATAGAAATAACACACAAAGACATAAAAACAAGAGAACAAAAATGAAAAATCAGAGATGTATCTGAAATTAATTACAAGGAATATTTAAACTACTGAGGAAAAAAATCCACAAAATATTTATATATAGTGCTGATGAATTTAACCATTTTCAGGGTGATACAAATTGTTCATATATATATATATTGTTCTTTTTTAATAAAATCTCAAAAAAAAAATATCTTAGAATAAGTAGTGTGAGAAAGAAAAGCACTACTTAACAGACAGATATAAGAAGAGATAACCAGTAAACTTGTATCATCATAACTGCACAAGCAGCATTTACAACTTTAGATGCACAATATGTTGTAATGTTTCAAGAATACATATTTCATTTTTTATTACTCCTATCTCTTCTCATTGATTCTGCCCATCTTACTATTTCCTCAGCAAAAAACTGACTGCCAGAAGACTAAATAATGCTCTAAATAGAATCGACTAGAAAATAAAATAAATAATTTGCCTGTCAATATTGTCTCATCACAAAGTTCTTATTTTTGCATGGTCTCTACTAATAACAGGAAGCAGCAGGTTAAGCTAGGTAGAATCACGTATGATACCTGTAAAATTAGCACAGGGCCTCCCCAAGGCTGTGTGCTTTCTCCACTTCTCTTCTCCCTATATACCAATGATTGCATCTCAAACGATCAATCTGTTAAAGTACTGAAGTTTGCAGATGATACAACAGTGATTGGTCTCATTTGAGACAATGACGAATACACATACAGACAGGAGGTTGTACAACTTGCATCGTGGTGTAACCGGAACAATCTGGAACTGAACACACTCAAAACTATAGAAATGGTGGTAGAGTTTAGAAGAAATCCTCCCATACTACCACCTCTTACAATACTAGACAACACAGTATCAACAGTTGAGACCTTCAAATTTCTAGGTTCTATCATATCACAAGACCTAACATCAGAAACGTCATCAAAAAAGCACAACAAAGAATGTTCTTTCTGTGCCAACTCAGAAAGCTCAAGGAGCCCAAGGAACTACTGATCCAGTTCTACAGAGGAATTATTGAGTCTGTCATCTGTAACCTCTATAACTGTCTGATTTGGTTCTGCAACCCAACAAGACAGACACAGACTTCAGAGAGTAATTAGAACTGCGGAAAAAATAATTGCTACCAGCCTGCCTTCAATCAAGGACCTGTTTACTACATGAGTCAAAAAGAGGGCTGTTAAAATATTTACAGACCCCTCTGTTGTGATTAGCTGGCAGCAGGTGCAGACAGCTGAGGTCTCTGAGAGTGAGGACTCAGATGAGGGGCCTGCGTGTGATGCAGGGATGGGGCCAGGACTATCGGAGAATGGGGTGCTGCCTTTTGGAGCTTGTGGAGTCTGGCAGCAGTGGTGCAGAGGATCCTGAGGAGCCTGTGCTCAGTGTACGTGCGCACAGGGCTGCTTGAAGGAAAGAGCAGCTGCTGCAGCATGGGCGACTTGGGAGTAAGGCTGCAAGGTGATGGTCCCTCCCATAAGGGATAAAAGCCAGCCTTCAGGGGTTGGGTTCTTTGCAGGAAGCAAAGAAGTTCTTTCAACTCCAAGTTCTTGTTCTTATTTTCAGAGACTTATAGTTTTGGATATTTCCCTTCAATTAATCTTGTGTTCTTGGCAGCCTTTCACAACCTTGAAAGGGCTTGGTCTTATCTGGGACAATTAGTTTTAATGACTCTTTGCTGTGAATGAACAGAATTCCAGAGATGCATTAAAAAGGTTTGCTTTTATATATACTTTGTGTTTATTTGATTTGCACGAGGCTTAGGTCAGAACACCCTCACATACTGGACATAAACTGTTTCAACTCCTACCCTGAAAACAATGCCATAGAGCACTGCACACCAGAACAACTAGACACAAAGACAGTTTTTCCCCGAACGTCATCACTCTGCTAAACAAATAATTCCCTCAACACTGTCCAACTATTTACAAAGTCTGCACTACTATTACTATTAATCTTCTCATCACTCCTTATCACCCATCCCCTCCCTCTTGTGACTGTATGACTGTAACTTTGTCGCTTGTATTCTTACGATTTATATTGACTTGTTTCCTAGTATGATTTGATTGCTTATTGTACCCTATGACTATTATTAAGTGTTGTACCTTATGATTCTTGACTCTTGATGAATGTATCTTTTTTTTATGTACACTGAGAGCATTTGCACCAAGACAAATTACTTGTGTATCCAATCACACTTGGCCAATAAAGAATTCTATTCTATTCTAATAACCCAACATAATGAGCAAGCAATTCAAATCAGGAACGTGGTTCTTACTCCTAAATCAAGCAGCGCCAATTCCAACCTCTCAAAAGTTAAGACTTTCTCCTGGCCTGAAAAAGCATATCTTATTTTTCTGTGAAGGATTTTGATATACTGTATTTTCACTTTGTACTTAATTCAGAGGCAGCACAAATAGATCTTCCATACAATAAAGCCTTAAGGCCTCTGGTTCACACTTCCACTTGAAATAGCAACAATTTACCAAATTCTTGGTAATAGTAGTATCAAAATAGTATTAGCTATTAGTTACATCATAGACCAGGAGAAGGCAATGTACAACATCCAAACATGGAACTCCTGTCATCTATCATATAAGTTACATTTGTTAAGGTAAGTGGAAATTCAACAAGTTCCAGAGGGCCACACTTGCCCATTAAACTACTTTGGGCAAAATATACCAAAAAAGGGGGCGGGAACCCACCCAAGTATTAACAAATTGTGAGGTATATGCAATGGTTAAGTGGTTCCATAAACCATTCACATATTATTTATGTAGAGCTTGCTCCAAAAAGGGCAATGGGGCCCTTCCATCCCTTTAACACCTTGGAGGCAGTTATGGGCTTTAATTAAAAATGGCCATTAAGATAAAATCATATTAAACCACACAATAATATGAAACATTAAATCTTATGGTGAGCAATGTTACTCAAGCTAAAAATGCCCCAAAGACTGTCCTTTTTGGCCAAATAGACCCTCACAAAATCTGTTGCCTCATAAATATGTGTCATCTGCAGGCCCAGTGAGAGGCTTATGGAGTCTTCCTCTCACAGCAGCCAGGATACTACATTTCCCAGAAATCTCCTCTAGGGCCCTTTCCTGTCCTAATTCTAGGGGCGAGGGCCCAACCAGCCAGCGAACCAGGGAATGCTCATAACAGAGCAAGCTATATTTAATTTTTCAGTTATTTTTCTGTCATAATTGTGAAGCATCAGGATATTTTTCTCAATACAATAAATGTCATCATTACTTTAAAGGGGGCCTTGGAAAACTAACAATTTAAATTCCAAAAAGAACATAAATTCAACCCTGTCATGTGAAAGTTAAAATCTTGTTCAAAAAGTATATAAAGAAAACATATCATTCATATATGTTTATACACAAACTTTTCAAAAGTAAGACTATTCTTGAAACGTATAACTAACTGTGCTTCATGGTATTTGCTTTTATGAAAATGGAAAATTTCTTACCTTACCTACCAGAAAGAAAACAATTTTTTGCAAGGACCTACAGGCAATTCAGTAAAATGTCATGATCAGCCATACGTAAAAGTATTAAAATACCAAATAAAATCAGCATAAAGAATTGACCTCTGACCATTGTCATAAAAATAGCATTAAAGAAAATAAGTAATGAAAAACTTCCGGTTTGTCGGCTTCGCGAGCGGCAGGGATTTGCGAAGCTGCGCGATCCCTGCCGCGCTAGCCGTTTTTGGGGCTCCGACCCAGCCGGGTACGGAGCTAGGCTGCCCTGCAGGGGCAGCTGAAGGTAGGGGGGATCCGGAGAAGGGTTTGGGGGTGCTGCAGACCCCCTCCCTGGCCGGCAGAACCCCCTTTTCCCAGGACGGTGCAGCGGCGGTCCGTAATGGCTGCCACAAAGAAGCTGGCAGCCGGGTAAGAATGCGCAGGAGGAAGTGGAGAAAGTGATTGAGAGGAGAAAGTTTTTCTTGGCTCCTAGGACTCTAAGACATATTTAATAAAATTCCTGAAAAGTATGACTTTCTGAATAATACCTGCCAGAAGAGGAAAAAAGCGGCTGCTGGAAGGTGCTGAAAGGATAGCTTTCCCTCTTTTCCTACGGAATAAATAACTGGATATTAAGAAACCTATTTTTTTAGGTGGAAATTGGTTTTAAGCGATGAGTGGGAAGAGAGAGGATTAAAAAGAAAATATTTGTATGCTAAGATTTGTTGGAGCAGATGCCTTAAGGATTTGAAGACTAGAATATATTGTAACAAGACTTTAAACAGATTTGGACTTTCTTTCTCTTTGATTGATATCACCCCAGAAGGAGAAAGTGAGAACTCTGCCTTGGTTTGGACTGATTGATAACTTTGGGACTGTTTTATCTTTTTTATTTTCTTTTGAATATTCTGGTTGTTGTAAGAAGAAAGAAGGAGAAAAGAAAAGAAAAGATTTATAATGGCTCTTTCTGTTGAGGAACTAAGAAATGGTGTGGAAGAAGCTTTCCTTTTCTTAGAAATGGCGCTTACTAATTATCAACAAAAATTACAACAGATGAAGACAGCAGAGGAACAAGAAAGAAAGGAAGGAGCCATCTTTAATGAATCTCAGAATTTGATCCAGAAAAAAGGAAGAGAGAAAGAAAAGAAAAGAAGAGAAAAGAAGAAAACTAAAGGATTTAAGGACTTAAGATCTAAAAAAACATTTAAGAAAGGGAAAAATAAAGTGCAAAACCAATATGATGATTGTAAACAAAGGGGAAAAGAAATACGACAGAGAAGGGAAGCCGGTAAGGCAGAGGCTAGAAGAAGGGGGGGTAGAAAGGTTTGTTGGGAAAAGAAAGAAAGGGAAAAGGTGGAGAAAAGCTACAACGTTTTGAAATTAAATGGAAAAAAGGAATTTTTTATGGATAATGGATAAAGTATAATTTAAAAAAAAAAAAAAAGATTTTGCAAGGTACATAAGATGAGATGGTAGTATTGCAATGGTTTAAGAGTTGATAAGAGATTAAAATGTTAAAATGTTTAAAAATGATTGGTTTTAAAACTTAATAATAGGAGAGGTTTAGAATATTGTTTTAATTAAAGAGTTTAATAAAATTATGGTATTGATGTTATTATAAAATTTTTATTATAGTATTTCTTTTTAATATTTGGATTTATTCTCTAATTATGCACTTAATTGTGTTGGATGTATTAGTTAGATAGAATGTACCAAGCAAAATCTGATTGGGTATTAGATATTATTTTAAAGATTAATTTGATTAACTTAGGGGGGAGATAGAAAGGCATCATACTCTGATTAATGATTTCAGGAGAAACTGATTTTCTTTTTTTTCATAAGGGATGAGACAAAGGGATGATAAAAAATGGACAAAAGATACAAATATAATGATTTAAACTAAGATGATTAATTAAGGTAGAATTAAGAAGTGTGAAATATGTGGAGAAGTTAATATAGAAGGCTTAGAATGGTAAATAAAATAAGTAATGATATGTAAGATGAGCATGAATATAATTGAAGTCCATGAAGAGAGAGACACCTGGGTCCAAGTTACTTTCCAAAAAGATATTTTTTTTATGTTTTGTGTGTTGTGTGTATATGTCTTTTTTGGGGGGAGAATTGGTAAAAACTTGTAGAAATATAGAATGAGAATAATGGTAACTAAGTCAGAAAAAACAGATGAAATAATAATAATGATATTGAATAAGAGTAAAGAGAAGTAAAGAGAAATTGAATAAGAGGTTTTGGTGTATTATATGGAAATGGTTTAAAACAGAATCATAATTTATCTGACTTGTTAAATTTACAAGGGAAAAAGGTTTAAACATGTAATGAATAATGATAATTTGTGTGTTTTAAAAATTAATAAAACTTGTTTTTTTAAAAAAAAAAAAGAAAATAAGTAATAATTCTATTTCAATAATACAATTACAGTTAAATGAATCTATACCACCGCAACACAGCCATGGTGACAATTGAGTACAATGACATCCTTCTGAATCTTCTTTAACTCAAATGTTTTCGAAAGAGAGAGAGCTTTCATGCAAGATCAGGAAAAGAAATGAGTTCTTAAGCAAGCTACTGCAACCTTGGAAAATTAAGGTCATATAAAATTCTCAAGAAACCCAATAAACCAGGAGTGAGGGAACTAGGGTCCTCCAAAATTTTGTGAACTAAGGAGATTGATGCCACCTTATTAATTTGTAATCTTACTTCAATAAGGTCATTTAAATAATTTTAATAAAGTTAGCATAATTTTATAGGCTGGGTAATTAATTACAAGTGGATGGACCTAACACTACACATTTACTCAAAAGTTGGGTCAACAGGCTTGAAGGTCTCAAGAAAATGATGACCTAGGTGGTTAGATTGCCTATAACACTGAATAGGCTCTCTTCTG